CCTTATAAAAACCTCTGCCTGCACTGAGATGCCAAAATGGGTTTTTGAGGGCAGGAGTCCCCTCTCTCCTTGGGCGGCTGGCCCTTGAATAAGTCACTTTCCCTTTCACCAGTGCCTGTCCCATGAGTTTGGCTTTCATTGCAGCAGGCAGCTGGACGTGGATTCAGATACAACACGGTGGTGGGGGGTGGGGAGAGAGAGAGACAGAAAGAGAAAGCTCTTCCTATAAAGCTATTAATCCCATGATGGGGACCCTACCCACATGAACTCATCTAACTCTAATGACATCCCAAAGGTACCATCTCCAAATACCATCACATTGGAGATTAGGGCTTCAGCATATGATTGAAAGCTGGACCCTCAGGAAACAGTTTGTAAAATATGTAAATAGGCCTCTTTCTGGGAAAGGCTGGGAGATGGATATTTCTGAGTGCTCCCTCTGTGCTGAGCCTGGGGGGGAGGGGATGGTTAAGAAATGATTCTTTGTTTCCTGTAGTCTTGTGAGTTCAGTGAATGCAAGCCTTGCTGACCAATAGAGCCACAGGCAATCGAGAGGAGGACCCCCTGGGAAGCAGCCACAAAAGCTGGCGCAGCAGATGTACGTACAGGCTCCTGCCAGGGAGACACTGGTGACCTGGATGGGCGGGAGGGAGAATATGGGGATGGTGCCCCCTGGCCTCCCCAGTCCCCCGGAAGGGTTGCAGTCAGCCCAAGAGGTGCTGAATGAGAAGGTGGTCCTTGGCTATGCAAATCCGCCTCTTTCACGGAGAGGTCGGGGAAGCATTTCTACCTGCTCCCTCCGGGGGAGCCTTGCAGGGAGAGCCTCAGTGAGTCCTCATAAGCCCGTTAAGGAATGTTTCTTAGTTTTCTATAGTCTTGGGCATCTCATGGATTGAAGCCATGTTGGTTTTCAGAGTTAGGTGGTTTGGGGGCCCATCCTGAGTGTCTAATAGTTGTACTAGAACATAATGTGGGATGGATCTGGGTCAACGTCTCCTGGTACTTAGTGCGTCCTTTCAATGTGTAGATTCAGGTGTTTAAAAAATTTCTGGCAGATATTCAACATCGCTAATCATCAGAGAAATGCAAATTAAAACTACAATGAGATACCATTTCACACCTGCTGGAATGGCTATATCAATAAATTAACAAACAACAAGTGCTGACAAGGATGTGGAGAAAGGGGAGCCCTTTCACACTGTTGCTGGGAATGCAGACGGGGCAGCCACTGGGGAAAGCAGTGGGGAGATACCTCAAAATATTAAAAATGGATCTGCCTTTTGACCCAGTGATCCCACTTCTGGAAATGTATCCGAAGGAACCCGAAACACTAATTTGAAAGAACAGAAGCACCCCAATGTTGATGGAAATGTTCTTTACGATCGCCAAGATATAGAAGCAGCCCAAGTATTCATCAATAGATGAGTGGATAAAACAACCATGGGACATTTACACAATAGGATAACACTCAGTTGTAAAAAGGAAGAAAATTTTACCCTTTGCAACAGTATGGATGGACCTGGCGAACATTATGCTAAGTGAAATAAGCCAGTCAGAGAGAGACAAATAGCATATGATTTCACTGATACGTACACTCTAATGAACAAACTGACCTAACAAGGAAAATGGGGACAGACTCATAGATGGAGAACAGATGACAGCTGGAGGGAGGACACTGCGGGGGAGGATTGAGCAAAAACGGACAAAGGACTCAGGGACATGGACACAGTGTGGTGAGCGCTGGGGGAAGAGGGGTCTGAGGGGACTAAATGGTAATGGAAAAATACAATAAAAATTAAATTAAAAAATTATGGCATGTTACAGAATAAATATATATTTTACTTAAATATTTGGAGATTTCATGTAATTGTTTGCTAATTCTACTTTTGTTTTTTTCTGTGTAAAGAATAATGGTTAACTCAGTGTTTGTATTCTCAAAGCAATTATATTAAAACCTTTTAAAAATCTTACAATGTCCCATTAAATTTTCTTATTAACCATTAGTTGAAACTTGGCATCTTGTTTCAACTCTGATTTTAATCAAGGCTGACTTAATGACCTTTGTGAATAACACGTGTGTAGAGCACATTTCTCTTACAAAGTGCTGTTATAGCATTTGTAAACCTTTTATTATAGAAAAATTTTATTCAGACACAGCTGTGGGCAGAGCATGGTAATGAATTCACACTCATTATTGAACCCACACTCAGTTTCAATAATGAACAACTGGAGTAGAATTTCTTTCATCTCTAGCAGGGTATTTCAACAGCAGCAGTATTGGTTTTGGGACAGATGAATCTTTGCTGTGGGGCCAGCCCTGTGCTCTGTAATGTTTCCTAGCATCCTTATCTTCTTCCCACTACACACCAGAAGCGTCCTTGCCCCACCCAGGTTGCGACAATGACAAATGTCCCCAGGTATTGTTAAATGCCTTACAGACGGCGAAATTACTATCTGTTGAGAACCACTGGTCTGTACCCTTCCGGACACTTGTGGCCCGGATTCCTTGGACCTGTCCCTTTGAATGTGTGATTCCACGTGAAGCCCCATGGCTGAGTTCACAAGCAGGAGCCGTATGTGATTGACCTCTGAACAGTGCAGAGTCCCAACCAGAGTAAGTGCCCTGGAAATACTCAGTGGGTTTAATTTTTCCGCATTTCCTGCTGATTTCTGAAGTTATGTTGCCTGTAAGGAAGTTTGGGATTTCTGTAGCCGGGTCTTGCTTCCCCTGAGGGTGTCTGCCTGGTTAGGAAGGGAAAGGGATGGCTCTTTGGAGACCAGTCTCTTTATTGTCACGTCCTCTCCCCTGGCATCTGTCAAGCAGTGTGAACTCAGGGCTGAGCTGCCGGACTTCTTATTTCTCTGTGGAACACGTGGGAGGCAACTCGGCCTTGTTCGGGTGGAGTGGAGAGACCAGTGGCTCAGTCTAAGCCTGAGGCTGCAGGGGCCATACTTCGCGGGGCAACTCCTGAGGGGCAGCGCTTTCTGCCTGGCTCACCGGGAAGCCTGCTCCAGCCGAGGGCCGTTCTCAGGGCCTTAATTGCGTCTCTGAGGTCAGAACAGAAAAAGTGACTGTGCTGAGAACAGCGTAGCCACGGAAACATGGGGGCGGTTTCGTTTCAGGAGCACGGGCTCTTTTGGGGGGCATGACGATTACAATTCCACTTTGAAAGCAAAGGGCAGGCTGCCATGTGGCACATGGCATTTCACAAAGGGCCCTCCCAACAGCTGGGCATTGACCGGGGCCGGCCCAGTGCTGGGAATGGGAATGGGGGCGCAGAAGCTGTGGTCTCAGCCTTTGGGGACCTCTGTTCTTTCAGTTTACACTGAACGCCTACCGTGTACCACCTACGAAGCTAAGACGGCTAGGGAACATCTATACCCACCCCTCACTGGCTCTGTGTGCCGTCACTGAGCGCTGTTTCGAAGGCATTTCAGGAAGCACTGGAGACGCACCTGCAGCAAGATACAATCCCCGCTCTCAGGAAGTTCACAGTTGAGGGGGGATAGACGGTCACACGAAACAATTAGAATTCGGCGTGAAAACTGCTGTGGCTTTCACTGTCCCGAGAGATGGAAAGGGCCTGCGCATCGTGGAGACGGAGTTCCCACGTCGGAGGAGAAGCCAAGGCGGCACAGAGCACGGAAACTGAAGTTCCCGCGGGATGGGCTCGGGGTGCGGCTTATGGCATCTACCCATGATGGAGGTATCGTCTCTGTGCTATGGTTTGGACCTGGAGTCTCTGGTCAGTTAAAGAACTTCCTAGACATCACATAGATCCTCCCTAAAAAACCTGAATGTCAGCACAGCAGGCAAATGCTGGCAGTGCTTTCTGCCTTGAACGGCTTCCAGGTAAAACTCACCAGCTGGCTGAGGGTTGAGGGCTGGTCTCTGCCCTCTCTTTGTCTCTGTGATTGTAAACTATCAGGGATGCACTCCCTTGTGGCTCCTGGTAGTCCTTCCTGACCTGACCCTGTCCCCATTGTTGATGGAAGGAAGCTGTGTGGCCTGAGGGGATGTCATGTGACTCAGTCTCAGGGGTTCTGGAGTCTCTCTATACAAGGGGCTGTGTTGGTGCAACAGACAAGAATCAGGAAAGTCTGCAACCAGTCAGGGCACCTTCTCGGTGATGCCCTGAGGTGCTGGAGGCTGGACTGCAGAGCGAGAGGGGCCCTCGGTGCGGGAGGGCAGGGAAGGGGTTTGTAGTTCTGCTGCCGCTGGGGGGGCGGGGGCGTGACGGAAGGAAATGAAGGTATCACTAAGGAGAAGAATTATACATGGATTGAGTTGGATCTCTGGAAAGGGACACGATCGCCCGTGACCAGCTGCAGAATGAAGGAATTAGGAGGAGAAAGCAAAAATAAGAGGGGGCACTGAGTGTGGGGACAGCCCCCCGGAACACTGAAGGGAAGCAGGGTGGTGAGAAAGCTGTTCTGCAAACCAGGGGCGGGAAGGGAGCGAAAGGAGGTGGGAGGAGGGAAGGCTGCAGGCAAGGCACCGGGAGGTGGCAGACAGGCATCTAGCAGCAGGCAGCAGCGCTGTCTTTGCTGCCACACATCATCCAAGGAGGCGCCGCATCCTGGTGTTTCTCCCCTCCTCTGCTCTGTTTCTTCCAGGCCAACCTCTGCATACAAGCTGATGCTACTTTCCAGCTGCTAACATTCCTGCCGGTTCCTCAGCGTCTGCAGGATAAACCCCGAAGTCTCTAACAGCCCTCCACGAACTGGTACGAGACTCCCATCTCCAGCTTTGTCTTTGTTATTCTTCCCTTTACACCCACCACCCACGGATGAATTTTCATAATGTTGTATGCTCTTCTGCCTTTTTGGAATGCTTTTCCCTTCTACACAAGATGAGCTCCTACTCATCTTTCAACATCAGCTCACAGTGTTTTCAGGCATGCAAGGGATTATCTAATAATTCATCCACTTAACAAGAGTCTTTGTTTCGTATCATTTCAGGTCACCCATCCCAATTACTGTCACCTGCTGGAGACTTCATGGCTAACACACATAATGTGACTGAATTCATTTTTCTGGGACTTTCTCCCAATCGGGAGGTGCAGAAAGTTTGCTTTGTGATATTTCTGCTCTTGTACACAGCAGTTGTGCTGGGGAATTTCCTCATTGTGCTCGTCGTCCTGACCAGCAGAAGTCTTCGTTCCCCCATGTACCTCTTCCTCAGCTACCTGTCCTTTGTGGAGATCTGCTACTCTTCCACTGTAGTCCCCAAACTCATCTCAGATTTGCTGGCTGAAAGGAAAGCCATATCTGTGTGGGGCTGCATGACACAGCTTTTCTTTATCCACTTCTTTGGTGCCACGGAAATTTTCCTGCTCACTGTGATGGCCTATGACCGCTACGTGGCCATCTGCAAACCTCTCAACTATACCGCCATCATGAACCAGCAGGCGTGCGCTGTCCTGGTGGCAATGGCATGGGTGGGGGGCTTTGTGCATTCCTTTGCCCAAATCCTTCTCACCTTCCGCTTGCCCTTCTGTGGCCTCAATGTGATTGACCACTATTTCTGTGACCTGCTTCCGCTGCTCAAACTTGCCTGCTCTGACACCTTCCTCATCGGTCTGCTGATTGTTGCCAACGGGGGGACCCTGTCTGTGACCTGCTTTGTGGTCCTCATAGCCTCCTATGCGGTCATCCTGCTCCATCTGAGGACTCGGAGCTCTGAGGGACGGCGCAAGGCCCTCTCCACCTGTGCGTCCCACGTCACCGTGGTGACGTTGTTCTTTGGGCCCTGCATCTTCATCTATCTGAGGCCTTCTACCACCCTGTCTGTGGACAAGGTGGTGGCTGTGTTCTACACAGTGATCACGCCCCTCCTCAACCCTCTCATCTACTCCCTGAGGAACGCTGAAGTGAAGAAGGCCATAAAAAGGCTGTGGATGAGGACAACGACACTAGACGAGAAGTAGAGGTTGTGTCCTCTACTGTTGTGTCCATCCTGGGGTTTCGAACGGATGGAGGGAAGTTCGCAGGAAAGTTCTGGAGTTATTCTAACTGGTCCTCATCCTTAAAAACTTTATTGTAATCACTTGTAAAATATTCCCTCTTGGGGTTTATGTACTGTATTTTAATTAGTCACTGCCTGTTAGATGTTTAGATCATTCCTATTTTTTTTTTTACTGATATAAATAACACTGTGGTAAGTATTCTTAAATAGGAATCTTAATACTTTTGGTTTTCTCTTTGACTCATTTGCTATAGTAAATTTGCTGTTATAAGGTATAGCAACTTTTGATGTTAAATCGATTCTTAGAAAGATTGTGAAAGTACTCTTGACGGAATTGAACAATGTCATTGAGGCTTTTGTTGATGAGAAATAAGATTTTACATAATCTCAAAGTATCTCCCTGCAAGATACTTATTAATTGCAAAAGGCAAAATGCAACTCAATGGTGAAACCTGGAAGACACTTCCTTAAATAACTGCTCAAAGTCAACGTTATCGGTATTGAGACTGGAGAGGCATCCAGTGTCATCACTGTGGTCTTCCCCCCAAAAACACAGAACCTGAGACTAATCATGACAAAATACCAGGCAAACTCTGAATGTAGAACATTGTACAAAATTACTAGCAGCATTCTTCAAAAGCATCAACACAAAGAAAGGGATTTTTTTTTTTAAAGATAGGTGATAGCTAAACACCACCTCTCATCCTTGTTTGAATCCTGTATTAGACAAAAGTCATTAGTGGGCAAAAGAGCTGTAAATGAGATTAATAGAGTTGTGTCAAAGTTAAGTTTCTGATTTTTGATAATTAATAGTGTTTACGTCAGAGAATGTCCTTGGAATGAGGAATTGCTTACTAAGGTATCTAAAGGTAAATGGGCATTATGTTGTCAAATGTCAAACATTTCAGAAAAAATTCTGTCTGGCTGTCTACCTATTGAGAGAATGAATGATAAAGAAAATGGGGAAAAACATTAATATTTGGAAAATTTGAATTAAGGATTTATAGGTATTCTTTGTATTATTATTGCAACTTTCTTATAAGTAGAAAATTATTTCAAATTATAAAGTTAAAATATTTTGCAAATTAGGTAGATATCTTGTTTAATTTACATTTTTTGAGCAAAGTGGAATGTTTTAATATTTATAGCCTCAAGTCTTATTTTTAAACTTTTCCATGTGGGCTAGTCCCTTCATGTTTGCTCTCGTTTTTCAAAGTTCTCCTGGGTATTGCTTCCTCATATGAACTTTGGATTTAGTTTTACTTCTCTTCCTGCTCTACAGCACCTCCACCCTGCAAAAACTTATTATTTTGATTGATACCATATTACTTTTATAAATGTGTTTAGAAAGAATCAGCATCTTAATGGTATGTCTTCCCATCCAAAACTAGGTTTGTCTTTCCATTGCTCATGTCTTATTTTGCATTCTTCAGTGGAGATTTATTCTCTGAGCAACTTTTGAGTACGTACCACAGTAGTAGTAACTGTAACGACCATGCTGCACGTGATTGTCCCTGAACTAATTCATCGGATGACTGAAGTCTGCATTCTTTTATGAACATGTATCCACCTTCCCCATCCCTCAACTTCTGGCAGTCACCGTTCTAGTATCATATGTATTTATATTACTAATTAGTATCCTTTTATTTCAGCTTGAGGAACTTCTTTCAGGATTTCCCTTACGGCCGTCTAGCGGTGATGAATACTGTTGGCTTGTTTTTTGGGGGAAAGTCTTTATCTTGGCTTGATTTCAAAGACCAGCTTGGCTGGGTAAAGTATTTTTGGAGCCATTTTTTTTTCCTTCAGCACTTTGAATACATCATCCTTCTTCCTTGACCTGGGAGGTTTCTTCAGAGAAATCCGCTGATAGGCTTATGGATGTCCCTTGTATGAGAGAAATTTTTTTTCTTTGCTGCTTTTAAGTTTCTCTCCATCTTTGTTTATAAACAATTATAATAGTTTTGGAGAAGATATATTTGTATTGATATTTTGGGGTGATCTATTAAGTTCATAAAATTGAATGTCCAAATATCTCCCCAGATTTGGGAAATATGCAGCCATTATTTTTTAAAAATAAGCTTTCTGTCCCCTTCCCGCTCTTCTTCTCGGGCTCCAAAAATTTACAAATTATTTCTTTTTATGATATCCCATTGTTCACATAGACTTCCTATTCTCTTATTTTCTTCTACATTCTCCTCTGACTGAATAATTTCAAAGGTCCTTTCTGCCCTAGCTGGTGTGGCTCAGTGGATTGAGCGCCAGTTTGAGTCCCAGTGTAGGGCACATGCCTGCGTTGCAGGCCAGGTCCTCAGTAGGGGGTATCTGAGATGCAACCGCATAATGATGTTTCTCTCCCTCTCCTCTTTCCATTCCTTTCTCTAAAAATAAATAAATAAACACACCTTTTGGGGGGAAAAAAGGTACTTTCTTCTACTCACAGATTCTTTTTTCTGATTGATCAGTTCTGATGCTGAATTTCTCTATTGCATTTTTATTTTTTTAAATTTTTAAAAAAGATTTTATTTACTTTTAGAGAAGAAGAGAGGGAGAGAAGCATCAATGTGTGGTTGCCTCTCATGCACCCCCTACTGGGGACCTGGCCTGCAATCCAGACATGTTCTCTGACGGGATTGAATCAGCAACCCTTTGGTTTTCAGGTCAGCACTCAATCCACTGAGCCACAGCAGCCAGGGCGCTACTGCATTTTTATTTTCATTCATTATAGTTCTTAGTTGCAGAGTTTCTGTCTGATTATGTTGGTTGTTATAATCCTTTTGTAATGTATACAATGTGATGTATACCTTAAACATATGCTATTTTTATTTGTCAACCATACCTCAATAAAGCTCGAAAAAACTGAAATAAACCCAGTATTAGTTGTTATTATTATCGTTCTAAGCAAATGGGGGGTGTGTGTGTGTTTGTGCATGTGTGTGTGTGTGTGCACCTGAGAAGCAGGGAGGTGTGATGTAAGGCAGAATGGAAGTGCTCTCTTCCTGTATTCCGTTAGGTGAGGAGAAATGCACACATGGGCCATTGTATTTCTTCCTTCTATTCCTTCAGCCTTCAGTACCCCTAGAAGTCCTTCCCAGATTCTCTCTATAAGCCAGTTGTTAATGACATATATACAGTGAATGCTCAGTGTCTTCCTTTTGCCCATCTCCCAAGCTATTTTAGGGAGAAGTTGAGAAAGGCTGTGCTTATGACAGCAGCCAGTGCCATTTAGTTAGAAACTAATAAATTAGGGAGTTATTGATGGATATATAGAAGGATTTAACATAGGATTCTTTAAGTAGTGAGAGTTCCTGGAGCTTTAAAAAATAGAGTTGGGGTTCTTACGGTGTTTCAGAAGGATTATGGTCAGGAAGGAGAGGCCACACTTATGCCATTGTTTCATAATTTATCTGGACCCAAAGAACAGGACTTTGATGAAGCCGCATTACTACACAGAGCAGAAGAAGATGGAGGACACAGCCGAGTTAGTTTTGTTATTGGCCTATTTGTTTCCTAATGGGACAACGGTGGCTGGTGACATATTCTGTTTGGGCAGGACATGCTACCTTCAGACATTTGACCCAGCTGGACAATTTATTAGTTGTGTAGACATGAACCATTCTCTCATCTTTCTGAGCCCCGGTTACCTAATCTGTTAAATGGCAATACTAGTAACCGCAGCAGAGTGTTACTTTGACTATAATACGTGAGATGTTAGAAAAGTCGAAAGACACAGTGCTGCCCAGCACACATGTAAGGTGCCGTTACTGAAGAGACTATGCCTCACGGTTAGGGAGCTCCAGTCTTTCTGAAGGCCTTGACGTGTGCTGAAAGTTTGTGGTAAAATGCTTAGAACATTAAGGACGAGCAGCTGAGAGACGCCTGTTATAGGAATCAGGAAAGAGCTGCGTTAGCTATGCCCTCAGTGCATGGGGTAACTCTGCGCAGTAAGTTTCCTCTTTGGCCGTTTTCCCACCTTTAAAGTGAATGAGTTAGACATGATGATCTTGAAGGCCCTTCCATGTCTAACATTCTGCGATCGGGTGATATTTCAAAGTGTGTGTGTGAAGTGGTCCAGGTCCATTTGATTAAAGTCTCCGTGGAACTCACCATGAGGGATGAAGTCAGCATAGACCACAGGAAGTCTGTGGTGGGGACACAGGGGTCATTTGCTTGAGAATGCAGAGGTAAGCCTCTAGGGGCCAGGACAAGAAGAAGTCCCGGCTTTTTAATTGGATTAATTAGAGATAGGTTCCTTAACCTCTGAAAGGAGCAACTGGGAGGATGACTTTTGCTCTTCTTGGAAACTCCCCAGATGGGAGATGCTCAGGGAATTCAATTATCTCTGTTTTCCACCTCATTCACCTTAGGTGCTTCCAGCTTCTCAGTCCAGCCAATATTTTCTTCAATCCTCATTGTAGTGGATTTTAGGGTAGACTATTCTATTTCCCTGTAACTGTCTTAGTGAGAAAGTGATTAAATTGTGGAGTTGGCAGACAGAGGTGGTAGTGTGGATGGCTGCTGATAAGTCGCGACACCATCAAAGTCCGAGAGGAGAACATTGGCAGGAAACTCTCAGATATCCCACACAGCAATTTTTTTTTTTACTGATATGTCTCCTAAAGCAAGGGACATAAAGGAAAGAATAAACAAGTGGGACCTCATAAAAATAAGAAGCTCTGCACGGCTAAAGAAAACATCAGCAAAATGAAAAGGGAGCCAACTGTATGGGAAAATATATTCGCTAATGATACATCAGATAGAGGTTTGATCTCCAAAATATATAAAGAACTCACACGACTCCACTCCAAGAAGACAAAGGATCCAATCCAAAAATGGGCAAAGGACCTGGGCAGATGCTTTTCCAAGGAAGAGATACAGAGGGCCCAGAGACATTTGAAAGGATGCTCGGCATCACTAGCCATCAGAGAAATGCAGATCAAAACCACGATGAGATACCACTTCACA